GTTTCCTAGGCTTTTTTAAAAAAGTTCTTATAACCAATTAAAAACACCATGCAAAATGGTTCGAGGGGGGAAAAGAATACTTGAAAGGAGCCCTCTGCATCTGTTCAGTACATTTAATTGCATCAAGAATGGACCATCACACAGCATCCCTAAAAGGAAAGGACAACAATAGAAGCACAATGCATAAACATTCATTAAAATGCCCAGTGTAATTGCATCACTCTCCAAGGAAAGGGACACCTGTATCCTTCAGTGCCTTGCTTCAGAGTTTTTCAGCTGCTTTGACAAGCAACTCTATCCCATTGTTTACAACATAACCTCTACATCAGTTAGGAGGTAACCCTTGCTCTGAGCCTCTGTGAGCTCTCACAGTTTATGGGTAAATGCTTACAGAATGTTTTCTTCCAGTTCTTTATGCCATGCACCCAGGCTTTTATTTTACCCACATAAACAGGAATCTCATTTTGGGGAATGTTGTCAGGTCTATAACCAAAGTTAGAATCATCCAATCCATTGTATTCCCCATCAGCTTGTACAGATGTGAGAGCTAGACACTAAAGAAAGCAGATAGGAAGAAAATTAATTCATTTGAGACGTGGTGCTGGAGAAGAGTGCTAAGGATGCTGTAGACAAGACAAACAAATGGATCCTTGGACAGCTCAAGCCGGAACTCTCACTGGAAGCCAAAAAGATTAAAATAAGGCTCTTGTACTTTGGCCACATCACGAGAAGGCATGAATCATTGGAAATGACAATAATGCTTGGAAAGGTAGAATGCATTAGAAATAGAGGAAGACTGCATGCCATATGGATAGACTCAACCAAGGAGGTCATGGGCCTGAATCTACAAGACCTAAGCAGAGAAGCTGAGGATAGGGGGACTTGGAGGTGTTTCATACATCAGTCAGAATCCTGTTGGTATCTTATTAATGCATAAGTTCTCTACAGAAGCCACTGGCAATGTGAATGTGCATTCAGATTCAATGATGCATTTGGTTGCACATTTGGGTGGGCATTCAGTTGTGCAGGGTTACCCCTCAACACAAAGGATGCATAGCACAATGAATGTGTATTCCTACATGCAGAGATTTATGCTACAGAATTCTAATCCATGGTCTCAGTCACTATCTAGAAGCAAAGTTTGTGGGGATGTGTGAGAAATTTGCTTTTGGGGGCTTGCTTTACAGGTGTACCTGAATCCATATTTCACAAATGGAACATTTGTTTACAGTGTTTTCCAAGAAAGAGAGCACTGGATCTATTTTTCTATATTTGGAAAATGTGGTTTTTTTAAAAAAAAAATCCACCCCCACTCTGTGTACACAAATTTGCTTTCATCAATGGGATCATATACAGCACATCCATTAACACATCCATTTGCATAATAATAATAATAATAATAATAATAATAATAATACAGATTTCCCCCATTTAAAAAAAATAGAATTGGCATAGAGCAGTGGTGGTGAACCCATGGCACGGGTGCAAGAGGTGGCACTCAGAGCCCTCTCTGTAGGCATGCGCATTGTCACCCCTGCACAGAGTTTGCCAGAGTTCGTTACTAGAAAGCCAGAGAGATGTGGCACTTAGCAATAAATAAGTGGGTTTTGGGTTGCAGTTTGGGCACTCAGTCTCTAAAAGGTTCGCCATCACTGGCATAGAGTGAACTTGAAGATGGGGGAAAAAGTAAGTCTGAGGAAACCAACTCAAATGATTTTCCCATCCCTAATAATTGTTTGGGGGTGACAACTTGCACATTGTCCAAAACAAGTAAGAAACAAAATGCACAGAGTGTACAACATTTTTCCTTGCAATGATCACTCTATCACTCACTGACTTTTTAATGGAGTGTCTGTCAAACATATATAGGAAGATGGCTGGGATATTTCAAGGGTCTGCCAATCCTCCCTCTCCTTGTCTGCTTGCTGGCAGTACCCAGCTGTGAATATGTGTGTGGTTTTTCTTGTAATATCTCCAGTGGCTGTGAATTTTATTACCATCCCCAGCTTGAGTACCATAAGCAACAGCTGCAACAAAGCCATCTTAATACAACCCGGGAGGCTTTGATACTGTCAAGACTAATGGGAGCTGTGATAGAAGCTGGCTTGGCTTCATCAGAATGGCAGGGGTTCCTAGTGCTCCAAGGAACTTAGCAAGCAATGGGCCCATGATCTTGCAGATCAAAGGGAAGAGGGCAACCCTGGAGATAAAGAAAGGCATGTGTGAGAGAAAGGAGTGTAGCTTTTGCCAAATACGAATATTGGGGGGGGGGGGCATCTTCTCTTCTTAGATGAGATTTTTTTCTTCATCACTGTAAGCCTGATTCATAGATTGGTTTTCTTGAATTTTTGCAGTGGACACAGTTATTTGGGGCTTTGTTTTACTAAGGCGAGGAGAAGAAATAAAAACAGTGTGTGAAATGCTATCTCTAGGGCTTGAATTATGGTGGGTGCTAGATGACCCAGACTGTTGATCTTTTGAGACATCCCTCTTAGTGCCTGACCTTAGAAAGATATAGCAGGAGGGCTAAGAGATGAGTAAAACTGCAGGGAGTCAGGCCTTAGGGACTGGGCTCCAACCTCCCACAGAGAGAGACCATAATTCATGCAATGAGTAACATGCTCAGAGAGAAGATCTCATTTGTCATCAGATTTTTGTGCTTCATTTTTTTTAAAGCACACGTCTGATTACTGGTGTTTTTGCTATTCTTTCAAAATGAAAATGTAACATTTGACTCTTCCTTTAGAAACTTCAAGGGCTCCATCCGCACTGCAGAAATCATCTGGTTTGACACCACTTTAAGTGTCATAAGTCATTGCTGTGGTATTCTGAGATTCATAGTTTGTTGTGGCTTTGCTCTGGTGCCCACCAATCTACCATTCCCAAAATCCCATAGCATTGAGCCATGGCAGTTAAAGTGGAGTCACTGGATTATTTCTGCCCATGAAATCTTTGCAGACCAGAAGGTAGGGCAGAGCACAGTGGCACCTTGGTTTGGCCTCAACTGTAATATATCCAAGAGCGTTGTGATGAACAATGGTGCCTTCAGAGAGATATTATGAAAGACTGCCAAAAATGCCACCCCCGGGGTAGAAAACTTTGTGAAAGCATCTCTAAAGTCCATGACATGGTGCAGCCGCAGTGAGTGAAGACATGTGGCCTCTGAATCAGGTCAAATCTAGGACATGCAATTGTACAAAGAGGAGAAATCCATGTCAGTAGATCTTGCAAGCCGGGATAGAAATGGAAGTCGAACTAGAATGCTAATGGGAAATTGAGAAACTCAGCAAAAGCAAGATTGACAGTTTTTCACATCACTAGCTGTGAAGAGGTTTGGTGTTGATCTGGATCTGTTTTGAATAGTCTCTGACACGGGTATAAATAGTTGTTAGACTTTCAAAGAACACTGCCACACTATTTCATACCAGGTGTTCAATTTTTAACAACTACTGCCAATTTAAAAAATAAATAAATGAAGAGACATTTTGAAAAAGGAGATAGCAGACTGCGTCAGAGATCTGATTATGTTCTCTTCTCTTTAATATGATTTTAAAATCATAACCTATCAAACAGAGTACCACAATGGGAAATAATACCCATGAGAGAAACCTTTCTTGAAGCTGCAGTTCTCTATCCATGTGTCCCATTTAACTCAATGGGACTTACTCTTGAGTAGGAGAGGATAGGATTACTCTGTTAGGCTGCAATACTGTGGCCACTTTCTCAGGAGGATACCTAGTTGAACTTGGGGGAGTAACTTTAGAGTAGATGTGGCTAGGATTGCTCTATAAAGCTGCAAGCCAATACTCACTTTCTTGAGACTCAGGAGATTATTGCACTGCCATTTTCCCCCAATCTGGGCACGGGACAGGATCAGGCTGGAACAGGCTAGGATGGGTGTTATTGCACACGAAAATGCTGCGGTGGCTTAGGATACTGGGTATGTTTTGCCTGAAGAAGAGAATGTTAAGGAGTGATATGATAGCAGTGGTTAAATATTTGAAAGGATAGAGCAAGCTTGTTTTTTGCTGTTTCAGAGGCTGGGACACTGTACAGTGAATTCAAGATACAGGAAAAGATTCCACCTAAACAATGGGAAGATCTTTCTGGTGGTCAGGGTTTTTCAACAGTGGGACACACTCCCTTGGAGTGTGGTGGAGTCTTCTTTTCTGGAGGTTTTTAAGCAGTGGCTGGATGGCCATCTGTCCAATGTACTTTGGGTAGCCTTTGTGATCTCTTCCAACTCTCTGATTCTTTGTGATCATAACGTAATCCAAAAAAAGTAGCCTTTCCATTCTGTGAAGGCAGCACTCCACAAAAAGTCACATATGGGGGTTTTCCTATCATATATGTTAAGCAGTGCAAGAGCTAGATAGCTACTGCTTTTTGTAAAAAGTCTTCAGTGCAGTTTCTTTTTGTCTGAGGATCTAAAATAGCTGAAAAGCAATTGACTTGCAGATTATTCCATTTCTTTAAAACTCCCCTTATTTGCACTCACCCACCTGCTTATATAGCATGAACAGGGGGAAAAAATCAGTTTTCACTCAGCAACATCTGTAGAAAGGCATGTTGATGAGACAGAAGACTTCAAAAGTGTTTATGGATGATTTCTATGGTCCTTCCCCGCCCCCCATAGCAAATTAGTCTCATCTTCATATATATATTCTGACAACTGTAATGACCAATGTGAGAACATGTAGATTTCATCTGTGGTCAAATCAGTCAACTCTTAAGTATATTGTTAGCATATGAATCAGATAGATGAATCATTCAAACATTTGTTCAGAGAACCATCTCTCCAAAGATGTATATTCAAACAACAACTGCCATCATGGTTGCTATTTGCCATTATGAGGCTGTTGTTTGTTGTCATTGTTTGGTGTGTATCCCATTTTGTTGTATGTGATATCCAACTTATGGTGGCCCTAAGTCAAACCTATCATGGAGTTTTCTGGAGCTGAGAGAGTGTGACTCTCCCAAGGTCACCTAACGGGTTTCCATAGCTGAGTAGGGAATTCAACCCTAGCATCCAGAGTCAAAGTCCAATGCTCAAACCACTACACCATGCAGGCTCTCTTGTATCTCACTACTGTGTAGTATTTATACCCAGAACAACTTGCAGAAAGATTGCCATAGGCTGGGTGCCATGTTTTGTGTATATGTTGCAAAATTTAAGGCCCCAAACCCTATATATTGGAAGAAAGAATGGCAAGAACTGTCCTCATACAGTTAAAACCAAAAAGGAAGCCAGTTCTGGGTGTTCAGATACTTCAGTATCAACTTAAGATAAAGTAAAGGAAAGTATATTCAAGAGACAGAGAAACTGGAAGTATTTTTGGGGGGGGGGGGTTGTTTTGGTATTTTATTTTATTTTATTTTTTATTTTTTTTTATTTTATTTTTTTTGCATACATGTACAGAATGAGATATCTTGGGGGATGTCTGCATGGGCCAAAAAGCCTATGTTTTCCCTGGCCTCATATCATCCTGTTTGGACAATGCAGCCAGAACCGCAGGGCCAGGATTTGGCTGGATCCTGGCAACAGAACACAGATTCAGTGGAGTAAATAGCCCTTACCATGGGTCAATCTGATCCCTGTTTTGAACAGTTTCCTAGAAACCCTAGCTGTTTAAGTGGCCCCTGTGCACTCCTTACCCTTCTCCACCATTTTTCCTACTGGAAAGCCTTCCTGATGTGGAAGCAGGGCTCGGCCTGTGCTTTCCTGGCCCGTCTTTTCTTGGGCCTTGGAGATGGGACCAAAGTTTCAACACAAAATTCATATATGTTTTATATACACCTTATACACATAGCCTGATTTTTGAAATTGTAATTTTATACAATATGTCTAATAATTTTGTGTCTAAAACAAAGTTTGCGTACACTGAAGAAATAGAAAATGAAGGTGTCACTATCTCAGCCACCCATGAAAAAAAGTTTTGGTCTTTGGAGTATTTTGGATTTTGGCATTCTGGATAAGCGAGACTCAACCTGTACTTCTGAAAAAACCTTCCCTTGACCCCCTGGATATGAGGAATTATAGG